TGGAAGCTCCCTACGGCTCCTGGGGGCCGGGGGCGCGCGACCGACAGGGCGCCTGGTCTAGGTGCAGGCCAGAGGGGCCTGCTTTGAGCTGCTGGGGCAGACCGGCCTGTGGTGTGGAAGACATACGGGCCTCCCGCAAACTTGGGCTCCCCGGCTCCAGACTTAACAGGGATTAACGTTCCGTGGGACGGGAGCCTCTCTCTCAGGAAGTGTCCAGCTGGCACTAAATCACACTTCCCGATACGCTAAGCCGGGGCAGCGCTGAATGGGTCGCGCAAGCCTTTCCCCAGATTTGCTCTCGCAGCCGGACGCTCAGAGCCAGGCTGCCCAAGCCAGCTTCTGCCAGAGAAGCCCCCGGCCCGGGAGGCTCCGGCACCAGCGGGGCAGCTTGGTGAGTTTGGGCTCTGGGCGCTCGAAACTTGATAAGCCGCCTCCTGCTCCAGGGGCCCAGGAAGCTCTCCCCAGTGGCGAGCCGAGTGGAAGTGGAGCCAGGAGGAAAATACAGTCTCAGCCCCCCAATACCGTTAACGTGGACCCCTTATTGCCAGGGAATAGGCAGTTTTCTAAGGCGCTGATAGGAAAGTGGCTGCGTGTGATGGGGAAGCCACGCTGTTAAACAGCGGTTGCCTCTCCCCTTCTGCTCAACTGGGCACAGGGCTTTAGGATCCTCTGTAAGAGGGCAGTGGATGTCCTGGGGACAAACACAGGGATTCTGCCTGGCTCCTTCGTTTCCCAAGGAGCGGCAGGAACAGGGACTGGGGTAGCTCTACTCCCGGGCGGGCTGCTTTAGTTTGCGAGACGGACGGTTGCTTGCCAGGAACGCCACGTTAGCCTTTTCCCGGAAGAGGCCTATCCGTCGGCTGTGAGGCGGAGGGGGCCGGGAGACACTCCGCCTCTGACTCTGCCCCAAAAGGCTGGATTCTGTCAGCCGGGCCCGTGGACCTCTGCTGGACTGACTGTTGCCCGAAGCAGCTTTGCGTGCCCGGTTGAAGGAGGCGTTTTCACACAGCCTGGGCCGGGGACCGTCCTGAGGGGCAGGTTTGGAGCTGAAACCCTCCCAGATGCAAAAAAGGGCCAAAATCTTGGCCCCGCTCATTCTGGGAGAGCACCGACTCTGCGCTGGCACTGTGCTTTCAGCGCTGCAGGGCAATTGGTCCTCAGCGGCAGACAGATGGGGCAAAGGAAGGAAAGAGGAACCACCTAAATCTTACAGAGCTGTACTTCAGGGTGAAATTTGACAGAGGTAGTTTTGGGATCCGAGTGTCCTTCCCCCTTCAGAGGTTGTCCTGAGTTTTCTTTTTCTGCCCAAGTGTCAGTTCAGGTTTCTGTGTTCCACTCCTGAGCCCAGCCCTGGACCTGCAAGTATGCAGGCATTAGGGAAGACATTCTGACTTTTCCTGCTTTACCCTTGAGTGGTGGGGAAGTTAATGTCCCGCCCCCCCCCGACGCTTCCTGGTAGCTTCCTGCATTTCAAAAAACAAATTTATGAACTACAACCTCCCCTAAAAGGAAATTAAAAGGTATAAATAAAAATAAATATTTAAAGTTTATTTAAGCTCACTGCAAGAAATAGTTTATGAGCCAATTCCTTGTGCTGCAGAGCAGAAAAGAGAAATTCCATTTCCTACTTCCCAAACATTTAAACATGCAGCATATGGGGTCCAGTCCAGTTCATGCAGATGGGAGATGCCCTCTCTTGTTCCGTTTGTACATGCAGCCCTGTGCCCCTACCCCAGAGGGGGATGTTGAAATGCAAAAAGCTTAGAGCAAGCGTTTCCATGAGTCTCTCCTTCTGCAGGATATTTGGGGTCAGAACAGAACAGCATTTTTCCTAACTGGGCTGGATTGCTAGGGTTTGGGGAGGGCAGGAAGATAGCTACACACCAACACACAGCAACAACTTTTGCTTTCTAGAACTCTGCTACTCCAAAGAATTATCGATTGCCAGCCTGCACAGCTCTGTCCAGAGTGTTACAAGCAGAGGCTATTGTTGTCACTTATTCACACAAAAAATAAAGTAAAATAACATTTAAAAAAAACATCCTCTTTCTTTTGAAAAACACAAACAGAAGTTACAGTAAAGAGTACAATGAACATATGGTTCAGCGTGAGGTGAGACATTGCCTAGATAAAGTGGGGCAGAATTTAGAGGGTGGGGGGGCTGTAAGCGCAGGAGGGGTCAGTAACCGCTTTTAGGCATATAGGGACAAACAGGTACAGGAACACTCAGAAAACAGTGGGAGGGGGAAAAGCTGATTTTTGTTGGTATCAGTAAAGTGAGCAAAACTTAAGCCACAATTCTAAACGGAATGAAATAAAAGAATCCGGATCAAAATAAATAAGTAAATAAAACCAGAACAAGAAACTCATTGCAGTTATCTCCAAACTCTTCACAGGACACTACAAAGCATTCAAAACCTCCTTTGCCCTCTTCGGCTTCGAAACTTGCCAAGGGACACGGGACTGACTGACTGACTGACTGACTGACCAACCGACCAACTGACTCTTGACGGACATGAGGCTACGGTAGGTCACACTGGCAGCTTCGGGATGGGTGTGTGGTAGTTGATGGGATGGTAGAAGAAAGAGAGAGCGAGCGAGAAAAAAGAAAGAGGGCACAATTGTTTTTCTTCCTCTTACCGTGTCTTTGGATGACCTACGTCTCTTGAAGCTGGAGGCCAGGGTAGAGGTGATGGACCTAAAAGTGGCTTTCTTTTTAGGGTCTGGTTCTGCTCTACCACTTTTTCTATCCTAAAATGAATATGTATATAAGTGATTAGATCTCCAGTGGGTGGCTTGGATCTCTACACCTAGATGAACACAGCCCCATGTCACGATCCTGGGTATGTCTCTTGTCTTTCTTAAATGGCCAAGACAATGCCTACCATCTCCTAATGGCTGTCAGTCCCAGACACAGGTGTGGCCCTGACACTCGGTTTAGGATTATGCAAGGGCCGACCAATCTGAATGTCTCCTTTGGAACTAAGCTGAGATGCAGTGGAAAGGATTCCCTTAAGAAGGGCACGGTGGGCAGGGTCAGCAGCTGAATTTCTGCTGGATTATACATTTCAGAGGCCTCCCCATGAGAAACACGGCCACGGCCTCACGGGTCCCTAGGGGAACACATCGCTCCCTACCCCTTCCTGCCACAGCTAGTCTAACTAGAGAGAGAGGTGAGACACTTTCACCTACCACTAAATAAAAATGCTCGGGGCCTTTTCTGAAGGTGAATCCTACGGCCACAAGAGAGAGAGAGGACTGCATTGGAAGAGAAGGTCATTGTATGTTAAAAAAAAGGTATTCCAAAAATTTCAGTGATGCTTGGCGTAAAACTTGAACTGTTTTTCAACGTAAAATAAAATTAAAAAATAAAACAACAAAATCTACTGAAATTAAAACTTAAACAAGGAAAAGAAAGGGAAGAAGCAAAGCATTACAATTCTGGATGATATTAAGGATGCCAGGAACTCAAAGAAACAGAATGAAGAGGGAAAAAAAAGATAGCTGTTAGGTGGTAGGCAGTCAAACCTGGTCAGCACCATGGGGAACTCTTGCTTTTCTCGTGGGGCAGGGTGAGTCGGGGAACCCAGCCAATCCAAATTCTTCCCATTCTTTTTTTCTTTAACCCCTTTGGGAGAGGAAAAGGTGAAACCAGGTATGGTTCTACCAGCCCACGATGGGGTGACCAAAAATGTATCCCACTGGTGCACAGAGCATGCGCGGGGGATACATTTCCTCCTCCTTTTCGGTTATTCTCAATTACTTTTACGCGCATGCACAGAAAAAGAAAAGCTAGCAAGAGGATGGGATGGGATGGGATCGGGGGGGGGTTGGTTTTGGGTTGGTTTTTTTTTTTTTTTTGGGGGCCTTCCCATGGCATTGCCAAAAATAGCCATGGCAAAACTGTGATTTCCCCAGGAAGCAAAATAAAACCAAACAAAAAAAGTTATAGATATATTTGCTTTTTGTTTTTTTTCTTGAACAAAGAAATCTTTCCACTTGCCTACCTTCTAGCAATGTACCAGATACTAGTGGTCTGAGGAATCCTCCTGTGAAAAAGTCTTACATTGTCAAACGGATCTCTTAGCATATTTCTCTGTTTATTTATAACCCATGGGGTGGCATGCTTGACTGACAGCCCCAAAGATTCTTTTTCCCCCCCGTGACCCAAGGCAGGACTTTTTCTAGAAAGTTGGCAAGTGAAAAACGGCAGTGACTAATGTGCTCTTGTTCTGGATCAACCCCTTCGGCATTGCTGGTGGCGGGGGAGGAAAGAGAGGGAGATAGGGAGGGGCTCATTGACTACTGTATTGGTGAACAGCTTCCCATTCGCCTAGCAAACTAATGTGCCAGCTTGCCGCCTTCTTTCCCCTGCGCCTCAGAGGCTTGCATATGCTTTAGTAGCACCGGGCATCTGCAGGTCTCTACAATGTTCCCTTGGAAGTATGCCTGCCAGATTCTCTTCTCTTTTCCTTCTCTGTACAATGAGCTGCTTTTGGCGGCCTTGCAAAGAAAAGGGTGTTAATCTGAAATAATTTCACTTGTGCTTCTCAGTAAAACGCCAGGGTAGCCTGTGGTTAGGCTATTTTTAAAAAACGGCATGGCAGACCGACTGCTGGGATCCCTGGCCTGTGATGTTGAATGTGGCCGCTGGCGCACTCGCTCAGCAGCAGGCGTTCTGCTGCTTTTATGGCTAGAGCCTGGTTGATTTTAGGGTTGGGACTGGCGTTCGAGGTTTGCAAGTGGAGTCTGGCAATTTCTGGCTTAGTCCTGTACAGATTGTGGGGAAAGAACACCAGCGACGTGAGTCACTGATCAGATCCAGGTTTTTGGGATGCCAAAGGACGGGCGAAATGTGGACGTGCACCTGTGTGCGGGCTCTTAATTACACGTCGCCTCCGGTGCCTTGCAGGGTGCGAGGAGAAATCTCAAGCGCTTCTAGTCTCGCCTTCCAACAACGGGGATGCTAAAGGAGCATGGCATGGAAATGGGGCTCTCGGTTGTGCGAATATCTTCAGCCGCTTTGTTGGAAGCAGTGCACAGCAAGGCTGGATCACCCAAGGCCTTCTTCCTAGAGGCGCTCCGGGATCTCAGCTTTACACTGCAATTGTCCTTCCCAGAAAAAGAACCCTGAGTGGGCAGAACAGAAGCGGGGAGAAAGCCGTGCCTGCAAGAGCAGCAGTCGGCCGACGGCGCGGCTGGAACCTGGCGGGAAGAGAGGCCCTTGCCTGTTCAAAATCTGGACTCGCCTCCCCGGAAAGCAGGAAATAGGGTTGGGACGTGTGTGTAGCCCCCCCGATGGAACTGCTGTCAGTGGCATGCGGGAAGGGAGGCCGCTGGGCGTCTGTCCCTGTGCTATTCCCACATAGCACGGTAGTCACTGATTGGGTGAAGTAATGGGAAACAAAAAAAACCGCACCTGTTTTGGAGGTGTTTCTCTACAAACGGTCTGTCCTACCTGCAGGTTTTTCCGCCACACATTAACTGCTGCAAACGCCAGTTGCATCTGCTTCCTCCGGGCGTCTTTATGCCTTTTGTATGCTATTTCTATGAATATTAAAAATATCCCGGCCACAATACCTCCAGCCACCAGCATGAATACACCTGAAACAAGCAGGAAGGTTAACCCCCAGGAGAAACAGGGCGGAGGCCTGAAGTGCCTTCTCTGTGTCCCTTTCGTAAAGGCAGACGTGGCTCCTGCCCTTTGAAAACGCCCCTCTCTCCCACAGACACCTCTGCTCCATCGGCTTTGTTGGGCGCTGTCCGAGGAGCCGTCTGATACTTCCCAAGTTCCCAGAGCAACGATGCAAGCCGACGACTGCTGCTGCTTCCTTGGGCTGCGCTCCTTTGATCGGGAGCAGTAGGGTATGAGGGGAGCATCCCTGGTAATACTCTCCAGGTAGAAAAGGAGTTGGGTTTTCGAAGAGTTTCTTCCCTGAATGAAGCATTTAAGCATGCACATTTCCTCACTGATACAGAGGCTGAAGTGGCAAACTCAAGCAGCAGTTTGCTCCATGATGACCGAGCTTGAGAGCAAAGCCACATTTTATAAAATAGTTCCGTGGTTTGGCTTTGAGGGATATGGTGGAAGGAGCAGAGCTAATTCTTGCCACCAAGGCAGCTCGTTAGACTGAGTCATCCTGGTTCCCAGCTGCTGTTAGCTGCGGATGGTTTCGGTCATTCAGTCAGGCAGTGGGTGAAGGATTCTACCATCTTAGCCGTGGCCCTCAGCCAGACTGAACCCTCCATACCGCTTTTCAAAGTTGCAAACTGCATGGCCAGCCTAAGGTACACGTCTGGCTCTTAGATCTGAAGGATGGCATGGGCTTGCTACCCCTCCCCCAGTAACGTTAACAGAGTCCCCCATTAGGGGGAGATGGGGAGGGAGAAAATTAAAAAATAAATAAAATAAACATGTAATTGAAAGAACAAACATGCCCCAGTTGCATTAATGGCTCTTTGGGTGTACCACCCATTCTATCTCACCCCCTGCTACCACCCTCTACACATAACCCTGCCAGTTGAAGACCTTGCGTGGCATTCACACGTTTGGTAAGATTGCTTAACTTTTAAACTGATAGGACTTTCATTGTACAAACCCAACCCAGTTGGTTCAGTGTATCCAGAAAAAAGGTTAATTCACTACAACCATGGTAAATATCTTGCGTGAACGCAGCTTGCATGTTACCAAGGACAAACATGCATTGAATTGGAAGAAGTTAGGGAGAACCTTTTGAAAAGTTTGGGGAAGCCCAAAGAAAAATTAGGGAATTGAAAGGCAGGTAGGGGGAAGCCAGCTCACCTGCCATGTTTTCGAAGGTGAGTGTAGCCGGAGCATTGCTACGGGAGTCACACTCCTGATATCTCACCCAAGTCTTGTCAAGTTCTTCCATGAAGCCATTCTCATGGAGGCTGGAAGCAGAAGAAGGGAGTACAGATGAGTCTCTGGGGCAAGGAAGATGCTGCTGCTGAAAGGGGAGGGCGGTATGGCTTTCTTCTATGTCCAAATGTAACCTAGGCTACGTTTTCCAATGGGATGAGGTTTAAACTGTGAGCCACGCTTCTCTCTTAGCCCCAAAAGTAGGGGCTACCTACCCTCCGAAGAGCTCTACCACATGTTTTTATAGGAATCACTGATATGAGCATACCTCCTGCCAGAAAATCATCTGAGTCTGAACTAATGACTCATGCAGACATGTAACTGAGAACCTCCTCTGACTGTTGACAACTCTTCCATGTTTCTTGTATCAGGATGGACTGAACTATCCAGGCACAAGCCACATAGTCAACAGAAGTGGACTGGAATGAAGTAGGACAGTTAAGTAGAGGGTTGCGGAAATCCAGACAACCGCTGGAGTGAAGCGGGGAAATGCAGAAACACTAACTCTTTGCTGCCATTCAGTCATCGTCTGGATCTTTGCACCACTGATCGAGTACCCTTAGTGAATCACCCAGAGTAGAGTGCACTTAGGGCTCTGTACAGAAATGTGTCAGTTACTGAACCCCAGAAAGCATGTCCTTGGGTCTAGCGCTTTGAGGGGCGTGCTCTCTCCCTATTGTCTTTCCCACACCTCTCAAAGAACCGTCCTGGCCTTTGACGCCAACCACCCAAAGCCCTACACGGGGTCATGGAGTGCTCGCTCCTCCCCACCACGGGAGATGCACGGTACAGACTTGAGGATGGCGAGAGAGACGTTCTGCTTCCAGGGACTGTCCTTGCGCATTCCAATGCCGAAGCCAGAGCGGAAGAAAAGCTCCCCTGTGGTCACCAGATCACACTTCTGCGAGGCTTCAAATTCTAGTACAGCTGAGTCCCAGATGAATGCGTGGAGTTTGCTGTTGTGGAGATGGAAGAATAACAATAAAATAAATGTAGAAGAGATTAAAACAATGCATCACAGAAGAGCAAAGCTGCCTTGCAGAGAAACTCAGCCAGTTGACCTCTGTGCCCACCATCAGAAGAGGGAACTATCTGCTCGCTCATTTTTGTCCTTGGATGCCACCGGTACAGCTGACGGAAAGAACCTACTGCAGCTGGCTGTCTCTGCGGTTGTCAGATCATCCAAAGGACCGGTGGGTTTAAATTGGCTGTAGGAAGCATCTGTGTCTGGCCTGGTTCCTGGTGCAGGGGAGGACTGGGTGGGCTTCCCTTCCCAATCCAGCAGAGCTCTTTTTCTATTCTAAAGTGCAACTGGACTGGCCCTGTTGGGAGAGTCAGAATGCTCTGAGGATTATCAGCAGAAAGGAGAATGCAGCTAATCCATCTTTTACTCCAGGAAAGAGACCCGAAAGAAGAAGTGGTGGGAAAGGTAGGAGGGCTGCAAATTGTGGATGTTGCAGAGCTAAAACTTACTTGTCCCGAACAGCCTGGATGGCTTCAGCAGCACTTTCATAATTGTGTTTCTCCATGTGCCGGTACATGGTGCTTAGCTCCACCTGCCTCCGGAAATAAATGTCCACTGAACTCTGCTTCACTGTGGCATAGATAAACTTATCTGAAGGGTTTCTCAACTGGAAAACAGCAACAAAAAGATTTTACCCTCTTTGCTTTCCCCCCTTTGCCCTCAAACAAATTTGAACCTGGGGTATACTGGATGGTTAGGGCTGTGGAGCCTGCCTGAATGACAATTCTTGCTTTTTGTCTCTCCCATGTTGTTGATTAGAAACACACCTCTCTTACCAGAACCTCCTTTTGGTTATATTCATTGAAATATTTGGGGACTGAGTCCGATTACTAGGATAAATTCTGAGGTTTGCAGTTAAACGTGGGTATCTGCCATAAAACATAACAGTGGGGGTGGGGGAACCAGACTGGGCCTAATCCTATACATTCCTTCTGCCCCCCCCTTGAGTGCAATCTCCTGAGTCATAGGGCACATGCTGAGCTGAATTTCTGTGGATGTGTTTTGTGGTCCTCATTACCCGAGGATCGTTGATGCCAGTGATTCGTTCCTCAGGCCTGTCTAACACCAGGAAAGCAGCCAGGTTGGCAGTGTAGGAGGCCACGATAATCATGGCAAAACCAGCCCAGACCATGCCAAGGATTCGAGCTGAGAAACTTCGTGGGGCACCTGGTAGAGTAAAGACAGCAGGAAAGAAGAATCTGTTGGAGTTGGAGAGTGAGGGACAGAAAGTTCTTCATGTGGTTGAAGTGGAACTTAATGACCCAAAAGGAAAAATGAGATCTCTCAAGATCAACTTATGGCTGCTGATCAAGGGAGATATTCATAGGGAGATCCCTCTACTGATGCCTTGTCACTCCTCTGTGATTAATGTATTCTGCCCTCTGATGACCCAAAAACAACAATCTAATCAATTTCCCATCCCAGTGCATCTGAAACTCACCTTCTCCAATGCCAGAATTCAGAAGGACCCCCCAGGAAAACCACATGGCTGATGAAAGGGTCAGGGCATCCTCTTCCTCTTCTTCACTATTCACTTTAAATCGGCCAAAGGGACTGCAAAAGAGCAAGCAAGACCACATGCTAGATTCGGCACTGCCTAGCAAGTTCTACTATCAGCACTATACGTACCCGTCCATTCAGGGCCAGATTCTGGTTCATAATACTTCCTGAAATTCTGAACATTACCAAACAGAAACAAGTATTTCAACCTTCTGACTGGGATGAAACCTCAGATGGTGAGAATGTGCTGAGCAGAATGTAAGCTGTAAGATGGAGCTTCAGGATTCCCTCACCCTTCCACCCAACTGGATGTGGAATAAATCATGCAAAGGAAGCGCTTCCAATTTCATTCAATCGTTAAATGACTGCTCGGTGGATTTGTTGTGTACACGACGGGGTGGCCTTTGGATTCTCCATCTCGAGCATCGTTATCGACATTCTGGGTCCCAGCGTTTCCATTTGCAGAGACTTTTTGCGGCCAGTCCCAACACATTGTGCATCCCTCACCGTTCAGAGGATTCGGGTACCTGAAACGGTCCAGCAGATATAACATCACAGCCACCACGTGCACCGACAGCCCCACCAGGAGCCACAGTGTGCTCTGGAATGGTTGCATGAATGAATCCAGGGTGCTGCGGGGAATTTCCTAGAACACAGAAGGAAATCACAGATGGGAAAAGCCTGGAATGAGTCACTCGATGGGTGGGCAGTCTCCAGCCAGGAGTCAGGAGATCTGCTTAAAACTGGAATTCCTGGATCAGACCAAAACTGCCTGGACCAGTTTCCCATAATTACCAGTCTAATGCTGCTGGGAAATCCACAAGCAGGGCAGGAAAGTAAAAACTCTTACCCTGCCACTGTTGTCCCCTCACAGAGCAAGAGAAATTCAGTGACTGGCTCCCTCCAAACATGGAGGATCCATTCAAGAGGCATGCTTGTCATGATCAGCTGGAAATCAGAAGCAAAAGCCTTCCATGCTGTATCAGAGAGGGTGGCTGTTACATTTCATCTTGGTAGCTCCCCTTATGATTAATTTTGGCTGGGTATGATTGGGCAAATGTAGCTTCCTCTCCAGAGCAGCCAGCTGCTGGCCCTTAACCCAGGCTATCTTGCCCAATCCTCCATCTTTCCATCCTAGCTCAGGGCCTGGGATTTGCTCCTCCTGCTCTTGCCTAGCGTTTTGCCCTGAATGTGTTAATGCGTTACCTTTTTCACTAGGATGGTAAGTCCTTGGTACTTAAAAGGCTTGGAAAACTCAATGTACTGAGCCCGCTCGTTGTTAATGGTTAATGGTGCCACAATCATGTCAGCCTGGCCGCTCAGCAGCTCCCCCATCATCCCGTTCCACTCCTTCTTGTTGCTGTTGTTCACCTGCAATCACAGCCCAGGCCGAGGTCATTCTGTTGCCTGTGTCTGTCCAAAAGAGACGTTCACTCCAAAGTTTGCATAACAGTTTATCTGAATGTGGGGCCTTTTAAGCTCTTCAGTTAGCAGCTGAGCTCCTCTCCCTGGGGTGTGAATCTAGTCATGATCTACTTGAGCAGAAAAGGGAATGGAGGTACATCATATTGACTATAGAGATTAGTAAGCCTTAAGAATGTTTGATCTGGCCTAAATATTGGAAATCTTTTGGCCTTTGTTTAGTCCATTGAGAAAGCATGCAGGTTACCCACCCACTCACCCCCATTTCTTTTCTGAACTCCAGGCTGCTTTCTCAGGCCGCTGGCCCAGTGCTCCTAGCGGCAGGTTGAGTGGGATCTCAAGCCAAGGCCTTCGGCTTCCTTTCTTTGGAGGATGCCCGCTGTGCCGCCATTTCTAAACCAGGCAGGTTAACCTCTGCGTGCCGGTAATACCTGGCTAGTTCACTCAGCTGCTACCATGTCCCGTTTGGAACCTGAAGTCTACTACACCTCGCCTCCGTGCCAGCTGCGTGACGTAAACCACTCATTACTAGTGGCACGGGCTGCCTTGTCTCGCCTGGGAAGTCGGTCTTCCCTTGGCGTTAAACCACGTCGTCTACCCCGTCCCCCTCCGTACACTGAAACTAGTCCTTAGCAGCTGTTTCTGGGCCTGGTTGAATCCTGACAAGGGTACAACCTCCAGACGTTGATACCAAGGTGGTTGGCCACCCTCTTTTTTAACGGAAAGAAAAATAAGTAACAGTTATAAATTCAAAGCAGTTGAAAATTCTTGCCAACTTCATGTGGCTCAGTTTCACTTATGTCGGACCGAGAGGAAGGCATTATCCTTACCCGTTCTTGTGTGCCAAATTTACCGTCACCCACTAGATGGACTTCATAGGTAAAATTCATTGTCTTTGCCAGCTTGATGAGTAAGTCGATGCAGAAGCCGTAGCAGCATAACATCACGCTGGGGCGGCCTATGTCGGAAACAAGGGAGAAGATAAGACCGTTCACTTTGCTGTGTCTCAGATTTGGAGGCCAGCTTCCAAATACGGTAGAGAGCTTTCAGAATAGCTGTACAGCTATTCCCTGTTTCCCTTCTTAACGGCTTTCCTGTGGTTAAGAAAAAGATGGGAATAGAGGTGGGCACATGTTTGCAAAACAGTGAGGTATTTGACATCTCTATAAATGTTCTATGCATTTATTTAAAGTACTGCTATTACCCCACCCTTAGTTCCAAAGAAAAGTGAAATTACTATCAACAGTTAGTGGAAGCAAATAAAGAAGATACCGTTGAGGTCCCCCGCTATTCAACTTATTCAGTTGCCGGCAGTGAATTTGCACCGCCGGCGAAGAGACCAAAGTGCTCCAGAGAGCAGGAGCTGCAGTCCTTCCCCCGGATCTCGTGGATCTTCGGGGGGACGTTCAGCTGGGCCCCAGTCCAGGCTCAGCTTCCAGGCCGAGGGCTTCACCTGGCATGGTCTCGTTGGGCCCCGTGCAGAGCACCTGCTGCACCAGCCCCCCCGTGCTGTTGAGGAGCGGCTTGCACTTCCCGTCCGCCAGGGTGGGCTTCACGTAGACAAACGGCTCCTGGTGGATCGTGACTATCTGTGGAGAGAGACACCAGACAGCCCTTTGGCCTCGGAGGAGCCGCTCTGTGGGAGTCTGGACGAGAAACGCTTCTGGGGAGGCGGCAGCCCCGACCGAGCCCCTCTGCTGGCTCTCGGCTGCTCCCCCTTCGTGTCTCCTTTTTCGGTGAACGCAGCTTTGGTACTTCGCCAGGGTGACTCTCTTGGGACGGCCGCCCCCTGATCCCCCTGAGGGCTCCAGGTCTCGATTCCCTTAGCGGAATCGCGGAAGCGCGCCAGGGCGTTTCCCCACCTCGCCCCCTCGGCCTGCACCCGGCTGAAAACGCCCCTGCGCTGCCGTGGGGCAGAGCATACCTTTAGCTTTGTAGACATCTCATAGCCCTGGGGTGTTTCTGTTTCTCCTCCAGGCCAGACGATCTTTCGGTCATTGGGCAGAAACTGTGAAGGTGCAGTTGGGGAAGGCCGTTATGGACTGCTCCTGCCGGCCAGGGCAAAGGCCGGCGGCGGCATTAACTCCGGGGCAGTGCGTGCCTTTCCCCCCCTTAGCTGGGAATCTGTGCTTGCAGGACTGTGTTTATCTGCACTGCACTCAATACTCTGGGAATTCACAGGAGGCACGAAATTCAGGGCCTTCCTTACCAGGGCTGACGCGTAAGGGATAGGAAGACTAAAGACGTTTGGTCTACGTACGTGGCTCCCGTTGTAGACTCCGACCTGCACCAGTTTGTTATTCTGGAGATTCATGACGCTGTAGTTGGCGTATTTTCTGTCCCCATCTTCGTTGAACTCCACCCTGCCAGTCACGCCTTCCGCGTACTTGGTCTGCATCAGCACCCTAAGAGAAGCGACCTCCTTTAGGCTTTGCGGTCTGTGTGTCCTCAGCCGCACTCGATGTTAGGCAGCCGGGGGAGCGCTCGGGAGCAGGCCAGGCGGTTTTGTCAGGCCACGGGCGCGGGCCCTCCCGCTTCGCTCAGCGTATTTGCTCGGCCCACGGCAACCAGCCTTCGCTGCTGCCCTCCGGGGGGAAGAGCAGCGGCAGGAAGACCGCTACCTTTTAAAGAGAGGCCCTGTCTTCCAGATGTTGGTGTTCCCCACACAGCCCCGGGGCGGGTCTGTGATGTTCTCCTTCTCAAACAAGTCGTGCACAGCCTGGGCCACCACGGCAACCGCGTCCCGAATGTGAGCGGATTCGTTCTTCCCGTTCATGAGCTGCAGGCCAATCAGCCCTGAAATGAGCCGGAGAGGAGGGAGTCAGAAGATCCGCAAGCGAGGCTCTGCTTCTGCTGGCCAGGCGCCTCCGGGTGCACGGAGGACGGCAGTCCTGTCCCACTGATCCCCAGAATCTGCTTGTCTGGATTAGACTGCCTTTGAACTCCGAGGCTCCTCTGAGCCTCGTGTTAACTTCTAAGCTAGCTGGTAGGCCTTACCACATTCTGTAGTGACTGTCAAGCAACTGTTTAGATGTCCCTAATTTTACTATTATAAAAGGGGAAGATGAATCTCTCTCTGAAGCCATTCTGTCCACACTGGGCATGGCATTGCTCCAGTTTGCCACATTACTGCTGAGCCCCACTCCTGTAAATCCTCTCATCGGCATTTCTGGCCACCTAGAAACATCAGCAGGGCATGCTAGACAGCAAAGAGAAGGGCACTCAGGAACAGAAGCTTTGTGGCTTGAGAGCGTAGTCAGAACCAGGAAGGGTACCTTCTGGGGCATTGCGCAAGGCGTTGCCTGAGATCTCCCTTTCTCCCACCAGCCACACGTAACCCGGACCGGTCATGTTTTCTTTGGCTGCTGCCATGTACACGGTGGTGGCATCGTCCTCGCTAGAAAAGAACAAAGATGGTACTGGCAAGGAATCTCTTGCCCTTCCGTAACGCTCACCTCAACGAACCCTTAGGATGCCAGTCCCCGGAAGTAAGCAGGTGAGCTCCTTGCGGGAGACCAATGGAGACCCCAGAGGGATAGCAGCAGGGGTGGAGGGCAGCTCCTGATGGCTTCTTTAATTCGGAAGGCAGGAGTTCGAAGCTGGAGCCTAGCTGTTCAACTGGTGTTGCATGTCTCAGCAGAGACCCTTGTAAGATCGTCCGCATCTATTTGTCTGGCTTGGGTCCACTTCAGGAGAGAATCATTAGGGAAGACCCCCTCTCCCTTGCATACTGGCTCCACAAGCATTCACTAAGATGGGAAAGGTGTGAAATGACCTTGGGAAGGAAAATCCCTAAGCATTCAGCGTATTCAGTGTAAGCACCAAGCTTTACAGAGTTGTGGTCTGCAAAGGGTGGTGGAGAACATATTCAGTGGGGGGGGGGGGGATGGAAGTAGAAGGATGAGAGTGTACAAGTGTGTTACACGTGCTTAAGTTTTGAAGCACATGGGAATCACTGCAGAAAAATGAGTTCATCATCCATGGTATTGATCAACAATTTCAAGGGCAACGAGGGGGAGTAGGAGGCAGAAGCATGACAGAGCAGGTGAGGTGATTGGAGCAAAAGGTATAGGGAGGAGGGATCCAGTGGGCAATATGGGTAGGTAAGGGGAGGCCTGGGGGTATGGCCAGGTTGCCTAGTTGTGACTTTAAAAATTGATCCCAGAGATGTAGAACAACAGGTGGAAATTGAGTAATTGTCTCGGGACAGAAGAGCAAACCTTAAGATTTAGCTTTCTCTTGGAATATTCCTTGAGTTGGGGAAAGGGAGGTTCTCTTAATGTTTTCTTTTTGTGGAAAGAAGCAAAAAAATAGGTTGGAAACACAAGAAAACTACAAATAGAAAACCACAAATGTTTGGATCCCCAAAAGTTTCTGTAAAGGGTGATCCAACAAAAGCCTAATCATGGCTAGATGGCTTTTCATCCAGTTGTTTATGGAAAAGTCATGGTGTTCTCAACATTCATTCATTCATTCATTCATTCATTCATTCATTCATTCATTCATTCATTCATTCAGTGCAGAGTTGCTGTATGGGTGAAAGTGCTTGCATAAATTATGTTAATGCTACCTGCAAAGCATGGACTTGTATGTTCCACTTAGTAATTTATTTCTTTACGCAGTAGTCTTAGAGCTGATAAAAACTTAAGACTTGGGTCCTCAATTTAGAATTTTAGAGTTGGAGTTAAAATGTCCAAGAAACTGGAGCTATAACCCCAAATGTATTAGAAAGTAAGCCTATGAGATACAGTGGGGCTTCATTCTGAGTAAGCATGCAGAGGATTGCAATACATTTCTTTAAAATATATTTGGACGCTGAACGGTGGGTAACATTAATTTTAGCTCTAGTAGAAACCCAGATCTTGAGAACTAGAATCATAGGGTCATGGCGTACAGTGGGAAGGGTCCTGGGAGGTCCTCTAGTCCACCCCTTGCCCAGGGCAGGGATCCTCGGACCATCCCAGACCAAGGGCTGCCCAGCCTTGGCCTGAAAGCTTCCAGGGATGGGGTCCCACGACTCCAGGTGGCAGGCTATTCCTCTGCACGATACCTCTCAGCCTCAGGAAATTCGTCCTCCTTCCTCTGTAAACCTTCCACCCGTGGGTTCCTGCCCTCTCCTCAGGAATTGTGGAGAATAAATCTACACCCCTTCTCTGTGACAGCCCTTCAGATATTGTAGGCCAAGGTGGGCTAAGCCTACCCAGTTCCTTTAGCCGCTCTTTGTAGGATTTGGCCTCCGAGTCCCCCACCATCTTTGGGGCCCTTATCTGCATTCTTTCCAACTCCGCGGTGTCCTTCTTGGCGTGTGATGACCAGCACTGGACCAGAACTGGTGTTCCAGGTGTGGTCTGGCCAGGGAAGCGTGGAGGGGAGCTACCCATTTCTGTGATCGCGACATTATATCCCTGTTGACGCATCGGCTCTTTGGGCGGCTGCAGCCACTGCTGCCTCGGGATCAATCTGGGGCCTGCCAGGACCCCTAGGTCCGTCTCACCAGCTCTGCCGCCACCTGTCCCGAGCCTTGCACCTTGTCTTCCTGTCCCGGTGCAGAGAACCTGCGCTGGGTCAGAACCTACTGAAAATAGGCAGGGGCAACGTTTGCTGGCCTTGGGCTGAGATCTGTCCTCAGCCGGATAATTGTGGCTGGGGGTGAGGTGAGAGGAGCGCTTTCACCGATATCGTCAGACGGAGTAGAAAGTGCCCTCCCCCTTGTGCTTGCAACTTTCTGAGGGTGGGGTGGGTGAGCGGAAAAGGGCTCAAAGAGAAGTCAAAGCGTTTGCGTGCTCGGAAGGATGGCGGCGCTGGTGCCAGAAGGGTGGCTCCCGCCCTGAAGCTCTTTGGTTTGAACTCTGAGCTGTCGTGTCACCTGGCAGCTTTCTCGTTCCTGTCCGCTGCGGGTCTGGGATTTTCCTTGTGGCCGTGCCAGGGAGAAAGTATTGTGTAGTCATTGGAACACCTCTGGCTCGGGCTGGGTTCCCACCTGATGCTTCATTTACTTCGCTTCTACTGCTTTTCAGTACCGTAGAAAAGGATAGCAACAGGGAACTGAGGGCCGGAACATCTTTGGACCCACCGGCTCCAGCATCAGTACTTGTGGCCTGAAGGCTGAAAGGCATGCTGTCAGGTTCAGGACTTACCTTGCAGAAAGGATAATAACCCGAGCCTCCAGTTCTTTAGCTTCCAATAGCAGTGAAGTCACATTTTTGGTTCCTGGTTCAAACTGAAGCACTTTCTCAGCCTGCAATTGGTATGAGCGAAGCGGATTAGTCCAATAGCCAAGAAGCTGGAGTCAGAACCATGCTTTCTAGGAAAGAGAATTCCGTAACTCTTTCAAAGCACTGCTAGGTACGGAAAGGAAGGGCAGAGGGAAGTTATTTTTCTTTTCTTTTCTCTTTTTTTTTCTTTCTTTTCTTTTTCTCATAGGGTTTTTCCCCCTTTCTTTGATATTAATTGATACTGTTTTCTCTTTAATTTTTAAAAATGTTTTGCACTGTGCATGCAGTCACTCAAGACTCAAAGAGAGGCGTGCATTTGTAGAGAAAAGAGGAAAAAAGGCATATATAAGTATCATAGGTATATACTGATTTATTTGCAATGCAATTGAAAACTCAAACCAGTGTTGTTTTTCAGAAAAACAAAACCAAACGATAAACCATGGGAACTAAAAATTTTTGAAAATGCACAAGGTTCATCTTGGGGGCGTGGGGAATCAAAGTGAGAGTTTCACACCAAGGAACCATTTCTTTTTGGCGGGGGTGGGGGTGGGGGGGAGAAGAGGAAAGGAAAGGAAAGGACAGCAGGAAGGGATTGGTCCAATTTTTCAAGAAAGAAAGAAAAAAAATACTTGCAAGTTAATTATTGCTTTACATGCATGCCTCCAAAACAAATATTTCCAGGGCTGGCTTGCTACATTTCCATTCTCAGGGTCAAACCAAACTTATCCCAACATAAAATAACGTGCTACCAAAAACATGGAGTTTGCTCGCTTGCTTGGTACATATTTTTTGATTCTGATTCTGATTTTTTAATTAATTTTTCCTTGTGCCTGTGGCCAAGTTCATCATTTTGCTAGTTAGGTTGGTGGGCGGCGTGCATTGTCCATGCAAATATACCTTGGGTCCTCGCTTGCTGTCATAGGATAGTTGTTCGAGGCTGTCATAGTTCCTTTTTTTACTCTGATGAATAATGTGCACAGAAAAAATATGTAGACACAGAAGAATATTATAAACAGTTGAAAAAATGACGTGTAGTAAAGCAATCCAATATCCAACTCTTTTTCCACTGTTTGTGAAAAGGGGACGTTATAACACTGGAGCACGCAAAACCCACGAGAGAGGGAACTACGTGTTCTTGCACTGGGCCAGGATGGAACCATTTGGCGCCTCTCCAGCCGAACCTGGCTCCTGGAGGGGAACCATCTTGCCTCCCCTCTCACTCGCTACATCTGTTTCTCCATCTTTCTCGCTTCCCAAGTTGTTCAGTGTTTGAGTATAGGACAAGCATTTAGAAAGTGCCGAGTTTCCATAATATGCACGCACAACCTGGGCTATTAGCCAATAGTGATAATTTTGCCCTGGCCCCGCATCCGACTGGAAGTCAGGGAAGCCAGAGGAGAAGATGAGGTTCTTTTGGTCCCTGGCTGGGTGACCTGGATAACCAGCTTTCCGCATGGCTGTGCAGACATCAAATAAGACCTCACTGGTTAAAAGGTGGCCAGATGCAGACAGATGCAAGAGAGGTGGATGCATAAATGTGTCAAAGATGAAATGGAACATTCCTTCTCATCATCTTCTCCAGCTTTTGGAGAGAGAGGGGAGCATGAGAAGAGCTTTTGTGGATTAAACTGAAGGGAGTCCGTGTTTCCCCCGTCAGATATGCCTGAAACTCCTAAGGCAAACGTCCTCCTGCGCAGTCGGTTCCAGTGTTCACATGGATCCTGACTCTGAAAATGGAGCCTCTATCGAACTATGGTGGCTGACAGATCTACTCCCCCCCGCTGCGTGAATTTGTTTGATCCCTCTTTCGTTAAAAGTAAATTAAAGCCGCTTAAATGCCTTTAAAATGCCATGCCATGCCATGCCATGCACCTCAGCCAGGGCTTCTTATGAGATCTCCGAGCCGAGCCAGACACCATGAGAGAATGGCCAGCGTCCCAAAGCGATTGTGAGGGCTAAGTGCCACTGAACTGAGCCGTCCTTTGGAACAAACCTGGCTAGGACTGTGCATTCAAAGCAGCGAGGAAGAAGAGATTCCCCAGTCTCTCTGGCCTCCTGCCCTACCGTTCGAGCTTTTGGCGCAAGTTGGGAAACTCTTTAAAAATATCCTCCCAGGTCTAATCTGGAAGAGCGTTTTCTAAAACTGGTGCAACTACAGGTTTGGAGTAGAGCTGCTTTGGTTTTGGTTTGTTGCTCTGACAGGGCATGGAACAAAGTTTTAAGTAAGATCTTTTCATACAGATGAAAGACTCTGTGCACCAATCAGGGTGACTTCGAGACTGAGGCTTGGTCTAAATTAACCACTTTTTCTGATCCAAGGCGGAGCCATATTCTAGACCCTCCCTGTCCACAGTGAGTCACGGTTTCCGTCTCGTTCTTGTTTTTGCCTGAATAAAAAGTTGGTTGTTAGCGTGAATGGTTACCAGTGCTATTGTTCTGAAATTAAGTTTTTGTGGCTGGAGATGAGTAGATGGTCGTATGAACTGCAGTTCTGGGGTGTGCCAGAACATGAAGGCACCCTGCGGGGGTGTTACTGCAACCTGCCATTTTATACTTATTGCCACAGCTGAAGGATATTTTGGACTGCTCCTAATTTGTTGCTTCCCTCTTCGGTTTTTCACTGAAATAGTAACTACTGTGTTTGATTTAAGCACAGGACAAAGGCTTTTGCAGAGCCAATGACTCAGGCAGGTGGAAATCGGCTGGGGGGGGTGGGTGGCACTTTTACTGCTAACAGCCTGGGGGAGGGAGACAGTGATCCTCACTGATGAGTAAGGACCAGAAAGCCCTGATTTCTATCATGGTGCAGCTGATGTGGCTGCGGACGGCCAGCGGGGCTGCCCTCAGAGAGCAGATCTGACGGAAGAGGCTTCTGGCTGCAACTGACGCTGTTGCTGCTGCTGCTGCTGCTGCTGCTGCTGCTGCTGCTGCTGCTCAGCGCTTAGAGAGGGGCAAATAAGAAGAGCAGAGCTGGAAGAGAGAGAGACCTAGTCTGGGAGACGCCTCTTCGCCACAGGCTGCTGGCCTACACCGTCCTACCATTTTATCAGATTGATTGTTTTATCGATGCTGTCTCCCCGAGAGAGCTGCAGAACCAACCCCAGGCAGCTTCCGATAATGCCCACCTCATCTGCCCAGATGGTTTCAAGGCACTTTTTGCCAGCGTTGTAGATCAAATAGGATTCAATTCTACACTGTCCAGGAGTCGGACGCATTTATGTAGGTCAGCTTGTAAAGACAGCCCTGGGTGGCTTGTTACTGGTTTGTCAGAGCGGGAGGCAATCGTTGGACGTTTGCAGGATTTTTGCATTTCTGGGTGAGGGTGGGATCTCATAACTGCACGTCCATTTATTAAAACACAACCAACCGACACATAGGAAAATAGCAATTCTTAGCTAGACTTCTGTTTGGTATGCTAGTTGTCTGTGTATGCAGAGAGATTTCTTTTACGAAGGGAATATTTTTGATGCGATTTCTCCCTCTCTACCCGTGCTTACAGAAATATGTCTCCTGTCTGCATGGTAGGGAACTGTAAAGGGAACCTTCTGCAAACGTAAACCAACTCTGATTTTTCTGTCCAGTAACTCCAGGGAAGATTATGAAGCCAGGGCATGTTAATAACAGCCGGAGAGGACTTAGTAGAAAAAGACTATTGCGTATCTGTACCAAAATTTACCATTTTTTGAATATGGAAAAACCCTTGTATCAACATAAAGGTGGTTTCCTTGTGCTTGGCAGGGAGGAAGAAGATGCTCTTTCTAAGCTTCCTTGGACTTAATTATGAAAGAGGGTGTGTCAGTGTGATGACGCAAATTGATTGGCCATATAAATTCTCGTAGAAAGGGACCAGAGCTTGGAAGGAATGTAAAAGGAAGCTTAGGGAGGACGGGGGAGGCAGAAAGACCTGTAAGGAAGCTGGGGAGTGAAAGTAATTGGAAGTATCCCAAAGAGAGCCAAATTAGCATGGCAAGGATCGTGCTGCTGTCCAGACAAAGACCAAGCCTGTCCCCAGAGTATTCTAGCAAGACTGAGCCAGTAGGAATCGGCGAGCCCCTGGAAGGGCCAAGCAGTGCTAGGACCTCAGACGCTCAGCTAGCCATTCACCATCTCTCTCTCTCTCTCTCTCTCTCTCTCTCTCCCCCTCCCTCTCTGCGTCCCCAGCTGGCCCGCTAGAGACCCGCAGGCCTTGGATAGCGTCCTTGCTACTCCCAAGAGCTTTTTCTCGTCAGCACACTCGCCATTGAGAGATGGGGATTTGCAGAGCTCCAGGTTATGTTTCTCCTCATTTCACAGTTGTTGCTGGTTTCGTTTGCATGTTTTTGCTTTCTTTTTTTAATGCAGGAGATTTTCGACCATGGTAAAGCAAGTGAAATGAATAAGAGTACAAAGTTTCGTTAGGTACTACTCAAGAGACACCGTTGATGCTTAGAGCATAATGTTAGTCATGTTAACAATGGGAAGAAAGAAGGTGTTTTACACACACGGCTCTACGTACATACAACAAGCCTGAGACTTCTAAAGGTTCTGCTGTATCCACAGAAGTTGACACAGCAGAGCGAGGGTGGTACTGACCTTGGATTCCTTCTCTTCCAAGAGGGTCTCCAGTTTCTTTTGGGCAGCTCGCCCTTCGTGGTCATCGCTGACAATGAGGATGATATGGTTCCACTTGTAAAAGCGCATCATCTCAAACCAAACGTTGGACTGGTGGGAGTAGGGGGGGACCGTGCGCAGGAAGGACAAGTGAATACTCTGCAAACAAAGGATATGAGCAAACCAACAGCCCGAAAGGAAAAGGTCTACGTTGTTCGGTGATTTTAAGGTTATATAGTTTCCACACAAGTGGTCATCTTTATGTTGAAAATAACCCCAGGTTTTTATGTTGTTCTCCAGTGGTTTTTCTCCCAGGACTACTTTGGAAGCCTTTTACTTTACCCTATGGAAGCTTTCTAAAGCTTAATTGCTTTTGAAGAGGTCCTCTTGGCATGTGCTGACCTCTGAAGCTCTATAAATCGCAGTCAGAAGCTAAGCAAGGACACTTCTCAAAGTGTCTTTGAATTGCCTGCCTTATTTGTCCCAAGCTCTGTACTCCATAATAACTCTTTTAATTGTCTAGCTGTTGATTTCCTGTTCCTCTTAGTGTGTGTGCCTGGGATTATGCAACGTGTGTGTGTGCGCGTGTGTGCGCGTGTGTGCGCACGCCTTCAAGTCACTGTGGTGGCTGCCTAGGCAAGTCCCTGCAGTTTTCTTGGCAAGGTTTTGGAAGTGGTCTGCCTAGGTGTCGGGGCGGGCTGCAAAAAAAGCAAATGCAGTCTTAGTCTGCGTCAGTTGAAATATAGTGACAAGGTCAAGAGAAGCCATTCTTCATCCCTCATCTGTACTGGTCAGACTATACCTAGATTATTTTGTCCAGTTCTGGGCGTCACATTTTAGGAAGGTCATTGACAAACGGGCACGTCTCGAGGACAGCAGCCAAGAAGGGAGAGGGCTTGGAAGGGAAAAAAGGAGCTTGAATTACAAGGAACTAGGAAGGGAGAGAATATTCCACATCTTGTCATAATATATGCACACTAGTATTAGTGGTAGTAATCGTAGTCATGATAACAACGAGCGGGTTAGTTACCTTATCTGAGTATATGGACATGCGCGTGGTCAGCCCGAGGACTGGAATCCGATAGAACCCAGCTGTGTAGGACACAGGTGTTGGCGTCAAGTGGTCGTTTGGCGCTGGCGGGTGGCTCACTAAGATGGCGTACACCTGCAAGGTATAGCAGCACACCAATACTGATTCACACGTGCGACCGCATCTGTGCCCCAGGAACACCCGCAGCCGCTGTCCCTCGTAACAGGACTGAGGACATGGACAGCGGCCTACAAAAGCGGGAGCAGAGCTGGGCAGTTACGTTCTCCAAGCACGCCTTTACGTGGCCTCTGTCCAACTCCGCTCTTTCTCTACTGCAAGACGAACAACCCTTCTGTAGAGATGTTTATGTACTTCCCACGTTTAAAAAATGTGCTTTCAGAATGCCACAGAAAGGACGATCTACGTATCTATCGGCTCCTGCTTAAAATTCAGAAAAATATTCCTAAAAGAGAGAAGGAGATGCTTTTTGGGACCTCACAGCCATGCGCTAGTCGCTAGTTCTCTCCATTGGAAGAACCTTCCCATCGAAGCCTGCAGGACCATCTTACTTTTAAAAGCTTGCCTCAGAGCTCACTAGACAACCCTGTAACCCTTGGGCCATCCTGTGAGAGAAAGGTAGCGCAGTCTGATGCGACCAGAACGAACATTACATTTTAAGCTGACCATACTTTTTTTACCTCAATGCTGGACGGTCCTGCGATCCTCTAAGAAGGGTATATATCATAAACAGAAAAATAATTGTAGTGGCCAACGAACTTCAGTAATAAGTCAATATTCACTTACCTAAACTGATAAGCAGAATGACCACTGGCGGGCAAAAAAGCAGGGGGAGCGGGAGCGACTTCCGACTTCCTGCCAGCTTCCCCATTGACTTTGTTTGTGGGAAGCTGGCAGGGAGCATCGGAAATCACAGTCACGTCACTGCGAGGGGATGCCGCAACAGCCACAACTTTGTGAATAAAACTGGTCTGAACATCTTGGAAATTTCAATTTCACGGGAGTAATGGGTCCCGGATTTTTATACGCATTCTTTTTACGCATTAGTGCATTTTAGGTACCTTGATTCAAAAATTGTTGTGGTATGATGCACCGTTTGGGCTAACGTGAGGGTACAAAAGAAACAGATAAACACAATGAGAGTTTTAGTAGTATATAGGTAGATTGTGAGCATTTCCAAAGGAGACAACCTCCGTCGGTGTGAGACTGGTATGTTTAGAAGCACTTATGTAACCAGTTTAGAGTGCCGAAGGCTTAGTGTTGTCCTTTTTGTCTGAATCAGTTCGGCTTCCTTTTTCCCCTGTCATACACAGAATATGCGCTTGGGGACTTGAGAAGGGTCACTGTTTCTGAGCAGGATTGGTGCTCTTCTTAGTGAGCCACTTGTGAGAGACTAACTCGTGAACACCTCTTTCCGGCAGGGAAGGTTGCAATTCTGGAATACTGGAATTAGCTTTTTATGATGGAATTACTCCTTTCACTTTAAGCAAGGGAAAGCTGAAGTAAGATCATAAGCACAGTCACGATTTCACTTAATGACTGCTTCACTTAATGACAAGCCGCTGGTCCCTGTTGTGGTTGCTAAATGAGAACTACCTGCATGCTTATTTTATTTGCATGCTAAGGAAGGTAGAATTTTGGAAAAAGCTGTAAGTAATGTTTAGTAAGTCGTGTCAGTGCTCAAGACTGCATTCAGTTAAATTGTCCAGTGGCATTTTCTCAATTGCATGCAGAGCAGAAATCTCTTGGACTGGAAGGAAATGTGTGTCTAAGGCTAGAAAGAGGTGAGAGGAACTAAATCTACTGACATGATTTGTCTTATCCTTAGGGTAAAATTCTGGTGGGTGATTGTAAAACCGACTTCCCCAGCCTGGTGCCCACTGGATGTTTTGGACTACAACTCCCAGGGTACCAGATTGGGGCAAGCTGGAGCAGATGCTTATTAGCATTGATTGCATGCAGTCCTGTATGGCAAACATTGGTTTTACTGAGATGTGTTTTGCTTGTGCTGACTTGCATAAATCTTTTACATGGTCAAAAGGAGCCCCTGCAGAACAGGCATGCTAGATAATATGATTTATTTAATTGCACATTTAGTATGGAAATATAATTTCTCTCCAAGGGCTATTTCAGGTGAAATAGTCTGTTGAGATTCTGGGAAAGAGAGGGAGAGAGAGGGGAGAATTGCAAAGGGAGCAGGCAAAAATGGAGGCGATCGCTGTTTTGGAGTCCATAACAGTGGGTGAGGTCAAGGCCTTGCTTTTCTTCTCTTCCAAACTCTATGGAAAAATTTGACCCCAACCTAAAGGAAAGTGCTATTCAAATCCATGGAGCTTGTGGGTAACAGCTAATGATGAGTGACCCTTAAGCATAGCCCCCTTAATTTTCAATGGGCTGAATTAACAAATGTATGCAGATTTTTGTTTTCTCTGATGTATACAATCCAGCTGCTCTGGGGAACCAATTTGGAAAATAGTCCCTCATTAGCATAATACATAAATTAGGTTTAGAACCACCCATCAACGTCACAAGTGACTGTCAACCAAGTTAAACCACTGGTTTATCTCATGTCTGCTTTGATGGGAAACAGCTCTCAAATGCTGGGCAGAGAGGGACTGAAGTGGGGTTGCGGGATAAGATTTTCCAGTTGCTTGCTACCTGCCGTGGAGATTTAAAATGGAGATTCTGCTTGGGATTAAACCTTGGCCTAAGACTGGACCGTGGATATTATTGGGAATATATTCAGCCACTTTTACCATTTGTCCGTTTAATTCTGTCTAGCCGAAGAGGCCTTTCCCAATCTTGGTTGTCTGATAGCCTTTGAACTGGAAACCCTGAAGTGTCAGTTGGTAAAAGGCAATGCCCGCTGCGGTTGTAAGTAACTTGCAGAACATCCTGCTTCACCACACAACTATTTCCTGGCGCTGTGTGAAATACAGAACATCGTCTTCTCCGCACACTCCCTTCCTAGCTTTCCCGTTGCCTCCATCTGCTGCTATGATCGTTCTCCTTCCTTAGCTTCAGGCCCATCCGATCAAATATTCTTTCACCAAAGCAGCTGATCTGACCGGGTGCCTATGATGAGCTCGCAAGCAGAACCGGGGAGATCTCTTGCTCCCACTTGCATTCCCTAGCAACTGGTCTTCATGGGCATTCTGCCTATGGCATAATATTGGAGGGAATACATCACACTCATGACTAATAGCTGCTGGTGGCCTTTTCCTTCAGGAATTTCTCTTCATGTTCTCTTCAGACCTATTCATATTGAAAGCCGCCACTCCATTCTGAAGCAGCAAATTCCACAGGCAAACTTTGCTCTGTGGGAAGAGGTCCTTATTTAGCCCTGCATATAATTTTACAGATCGCATCATCACCCGCCTGATTTGTTCGGTCATTCAGTCGTGACGTGAGGAGCATTATTTCCCCAGGACTGTCTGTCAGTAACGGCTCCTTTGAGTCCTTCTATCTAAGCTCTTGCCAGTTGGGTCATTGGTGAAAGCATCTAGCCCCCTGGTCTTTTGTTGTCAGCCTCTTCCAATTGTTTTGGTTTCTCCAAGCATCTGGGTCTTCTCCAATGGCTCCTGCCTTCCAAATATCTAAGAGCATCATTATGAGCAGTCTCAGCTAAAGCTCTGCAAACAATGGTTTTCCTCAGTTCTTGGCCTTTGGGGCTTTTCTCCCTTTCTTTTAATGGTGTACCATATGCTGTTTAAGGAGTGGTGGCTGGAATAGGACGTGGGGTGCTAACATCCTTGATCTGAATAAAGACATTCGTTTTCTTTCACTTCCCGCCACATGACCGGAGCTGCATGGGGTTGACATTGCCATCAAGCTGTCCAGCTCACCTGTGATCTCTCCTGAGTATATGTAAAACTAGAGGTTTTCTTAACCCGATATATTGGTCTTGGTAGATGTGCTTATGTTCCATCGCAGCTGCACATCCACCCCGAGTGTGGAAGGATCTTTGTTTTAACCACCCAGTTGGGGCCACCACATCCTCATAGCTCAGGACCTATCCTCAATCCTTGGGGGAGCCCACAGCTTACACATGTGCGCGCGCACACACACACACGTACTGCAAGAGCGTGACCTCATTCCTACTCTCTGCTTCCTGTCCTTGAGTCAGATCCTGACTCCTCTGCTAAGTCCGTCCTGGAGGGCCTTTCCTGGCCTGCTGACTGGGGTTCCCTTGGCAGTTACAGCTGAGTTCAGTGCACGTGGAAGAAAAGTGGCCTTTGGATTTTGAAAAAGAGGAGATGCAGAGCAAATTCTGGGGCGGGCGGCAGGCAAGAGGTGGTTGGGATATCCTGGGATTCAAGGTCAGGCTGGCAGCTGACTGTCTAGTTGATCTGGACTCTTCCGCCGGTTTGTGGGGAGCTTCAGGAATTGTACCCAATTGCCTCACGCCTTCCCATCTTTTTCTACTGCCTGCCTCTTCCTCAGCTCTTACGCAAAAGGGGAAAAAACAGCAAGGGGGCCCTCCAATTGCATGGGGAAGTCTTCTTAGCCTGAGGAATTAGATCCCATCTTCTTCTCTAAGAAGGTGGTCTTGAAGGCACCTTCATTCCCCCTTAATTTTTAATCCAGTTTCAAGTTTCCAGACCATATTTTCTAAGGGAAAACTGCCCACCTGTAAACCTGCAAGGGGTGTGAGCGTATGTGTGTGTGGGTAGGTGTGGTTTTGTGGCCTCCCTCCCTCTTTGTGAGAAAGCTTGTGCTTGTTCCCACAGCTGCCAAGTTGCTTTGGGCTTGGTGTGCACACCAGGGTTCAAGGATGCGAGGATGCGTGGAGGCGCTTAGAAAGAAGGTGGGGGAGCGCTCGCTCCAGATTGATGCCACAAAGCAAGCGGAGGTCCTCTTCCCTGCCATTTCAGCCCCCCTCAGCCCTCCAAGAGCCGCCCTCAGACACACGTTCACATACGTGCCGTGCCGTGCCTGCCTTGGCGCATTATGTGATCCAGATTGACTGTCCCCCCCCCCCCCCGTTTTTCCTTACGATGCTCACAAAGCTCATTCTGGGGTGGGGCAGAGGAGGAGGGAAGGGGGCTTCAGGGTGCTTTCCTGGAGAGGCTCCCCCCATTCCTGGGTCCCTGAGGCGACAGAGGCATTGCCGCCTCTCCCTTGGTGCCCGCTCAGGGTGGACGGGGGCGTTGCAGGGGGGAGTGAAGAGGCAGCGGTCTAGGCGCGGCGGGGGGCTGACCCGCGGGCGGGGGCTGGCCGCCAGACCGGCCTGGGAGGGGCAGGCGGGGCGGGAGGCCTTGCTGTGGCGCGGTGGGCGACTGGACCGGGCGCCTACCTGGCTGGAGATGAGGTCCTCGCAGACGGAGAGGGCCATCTGGATGGCATTGGGCTTGTGGGTGACGGAGGTGGCGTTCAGCTGGATCTTCCAGGTGCCGTGCCGCTTGTTGGCCTGGCTGATGGCGTCGCGGAAGACCTGCTCGTGCTTCTTGGTGCTCAGCACCGCGCCGATGTTGATGATCTTGGGCTCGCAGCCCGCGCGGGCCACCGAGAACCAGACCAGCACGGCCAGCAGCAGGAGCCGCATGGCGCCCCGCGCCCGGCGCTGGCGCGCCGCTCTCCGCGGTGCTGAAGTCCCCCCTGCGGTCGGGCGCGCGGGAG